CAGCCCCTAGTCAGTACACAACCCAGCCCCAACCCTGCCTCACCCACACCACACTCTAGCTCTTATGTGATTTGTTAAGGTGTTGCCTTGATTGCTAACTACTTGTGCTTCTACCGTACCTTTTACTATTATTTGTATTGTTGCTCTTACCTTCTTTACCTGTGGTTCGTACCTACTATTTTTGTGTTAGTAGTCTCGTCTCTGCTTTGCTTTTTGGTGCTGTTACGTAGGTGTAGTGGCGTGGGTTAGCAATGTAGCTATAAGGTCATATCTCGGGGTTGGGACGGGGGTAGGAGGGTTGCAGAGGGGTAGTGTAGTGTCCCATGTGCGTTTCGGCTCATGGAACATAGGGACCCTCACAGGTAAGTCAATTGAGTTGGTGCAAGTTCTCAAGAGGAGAAGGATGCAGGTGGCGTGCGTGCAAGAAACCAAGTGGGTGGGCACGAAGGCGCGAGAGGTTGATGGCTTCAAATTGTGGTATTCAGGTTCGGCTAGGGGAAGGAATGGAGTCGGTATTCTGGTGGCACCGGAGCTACGAGGGTTTGTGGTGGAGGTGAAGAGGATTAATGATCGTCTAATGTTTATCAAGTTGGTTTTGGATGGGTGTGCGATCAATGTCGTGAGTGCTTACGCCCCGCATGTTGGCTTGGCAGACGAAGTTAAGAGAGAGTTTTGGGACGCCTTGGATGGGGTGGTTGTTGGCTTTCAACTGACTGAGAAAGTCATCGTTGGAGGCGACTTCAATGGCCATATTGGAGACTCGGCCGAGGGCTTCGAGGACGTGCACGGTGGTTTTGGCTATGGCAGTAGGAACCCAGCGGGAGTTTCACTCTTGGAGTTTGCCAGAGCAAGTGATATAGTGGTTGCTAACTCTTGTTTCCCAAAACGAGACGTTCATTTGGCTACATTTGTTAGTGGAGTGGGGACGACTCAGATCGACTATCTTCTCCTGTGCAGGTGTCATCGGGTGCTCTGCAAGGATGCTAAAGTAGTCCCGAGTGAAAACATCACTACCCAACACAAGCTTCTGGTGATGGATGTCATGATTAGATGGGTGAAACATATGAGAGCTTCGAGTGGCAACATACAAATCCGGTGGAGGAGACTAAGTGGGGAAAATATCTCTGAGTTGATCACGCGAGTGCAGGAGAAAGGTGCGTGGGAATCGGACGGAGAGGCTACAGGTATGTGGACGCGGACTGCTAACTGCATCAGGGAAAGAGCCAGGGAAGTGTTAGGTGTGAGCTCTGGCTCTGGGAGTAGGCGTCAAGGTGATTGGTGGTGGAGCGATTCAGTTCGAAGTAAGGTGGAAGCTAAGAAGGTGGCATATTTGAGGTACATGGGCTGCAATGTTGAGGAAGAAAGAACAGCGTTACGAGTGGAGTACAAGAAGGCATGTAAAGAAGCCAAGTTAGAGGTTACGAGGGCAAAGAATGCCACTTTTGAACGCCCCTACAAGGATATTGAGGAGAAAGGTGGTGTTAATACATTGTTCCGGCTTGCTAAGATGCGTGAGAGGAAAGCCCGAGATCTGGACCACGTGAGATGTGTGAAGGGGAGTGATGGTAGAGTGTTAGTTGAGACTGCCAAAGTGGCTAAGCGCTGGGGGGGAGTACTTTTGTGAACTCTTAAATGCGGGAGGAGACCGGAGGCTAGTTCTTGATGAGCTGGGGCAGTCCGGGGCGTCTCTGGTGTATTGTCGACGCATTTGCCTGGGAGAGGTGGTTCGGGCTCTCCGAGGGATGCGTAGTGGGAGAGCTTTGGGACTAGATGAGATTCCGATGGAGTTTTGGAAGCATGCGGGCCGTGGTGCGTGGGTTTGGTTAACCAAACTCTTCAATGTTATCTTTCGGACAGCAAGGATGCCTGATGAGTGGAGGAAGAGTCTCTTGGTCCCCTTGTTTAAAGGTAAAGGTGACATTCAGAGCTGCGAGAATTACAAAGGCATCAAACTCCTTAGCCACACCATGAAGGTTTGAGAGAGAGTCATTGAGTATAGGGTGCGAAAAGGGGTATGCATCTCTGAGAACCAGTTTGGTTTCATGCCTGGTAGATCGACTACAGAGGCCATTCACCTCGTGAGGAGGTTAATGGAAGAGTATAGGGCTAGGAAGAAGGACCTTCATATGGTGTTTATTGATGTTGAGAAGGCGTATGATAGGGTGCCAAGGGAGGTCTTATGGAGGTGCCTAGAGACAAGATCAGAAGAGTTCCCATCGCGTACACTCGCGCAATCAAGGATATGTACGATGGGGCTATGACTAGGGTAAGGACCTCCGGGGGCGACTCTGAGCCATTCTCAGTAGGGATGGGGTTGCACCAGGGGTCTGCCCTTAGCCCTTTTTTGTTCGCCTTGGTGATGGACGTCCTAACTCAAGGCGTTCAAGAAGGGGTCCCATGGTGCATGCTTTTCACAGATGATATCGTGCTTATCGACGACACACGTGAGGGACTAAACGATAAGTTGGAACGATAGCGCCTTGCCATTGAGACTAAAGGACTCAGAATAAGTAGGAACAAGACTGAATACATGGAATGTCGTTTCAGCGGCCGGGAAACAGAATCAGAAGTGGAAATTAGGATTGACTCTCACGTAGTACCTAAGGTAGACAGGTTCCGATATCTTGGCTCGGTAATCCAGGCGGATGGGGAGTTAGACGGGGATGTTGGACATCGTGTTGGACTGGATTGGGCCAAATGGCAGTTGGCCTTGAGGGTGTTGTGTGACCCAAAGATTTCACCCAGGATGAAAGATAAGTTCTACCACTCCGTAGTCAGACCTGCTATGTTATACGGGGTAGAGTGTTGGACGGGTAAGAAGACTCATGTGCGTCGTCTGCATGCGACGGAGATGCGGATGTTACGATGGATGTGTGGGAAGACAAGGTTGGATAGGATTTCGAACGAAGTTATTCGACGTCAGGTAGGCATGGCGCTGGTGGAAGATAAGTTGCGGGAAACGAGATTGAGATGGTTTGGGCATGTGAGACGTCAGGATGCTGATGCCCCTGTACGGAGGTGCAAGAGGATCACGGTTATCGGGGGAAGTAGGGGAAGGGGTAGACCTAGGAAGAATTGGAAAGAGGTGATTAGGCAGGATTTAGGACTTCTCACCCTGATTGAGGATATGGCTTTAGATAGGAACCTTTGGCGGACTAGGATTAAAGTAGCTGGTTAGGAGCGTGGTGCTGCAGAGGTTTTTGTAGTGTGTTGTGTTTGATTGGAATCTTCTACTTTTGCTTGCTGGACTTTCATTTCATTGTACTTGGTGCTTTATCCTGTTATATCATGTTACCCTGTTATATTGTGTTACCTACCATATTTTTGTGCAAGTTGAGCCAGGGTGTCTTGGAAACAGCCTCCCTACTTCCGAGTAGGGGCAAGGTCTGCGTACACACACCCTCCCCAGACCCTACTGTAGTGGGATTCAACTGGGTTGTTGTTGTTGTTGTTTCTCTCTATTTTTTTCTTTAGTTTTCTTAATGCTCTTTTTAATTAGAGTAACCACTTTAATTCACATAAGGGTAAACATGACAAGGATACAAACTATGAATACACAAACCAAAATAGAACACGGATCAAATATTTGTTGTAAATAAGAATAGGAAAAAGTTAAAACATTCAAAGAATATAGCCCACAATTCTTTACTATGAAGTACATCACACTAGCAACTTCAGCCAAAAAAAGAACACTACTTTACCAATAACATATTTAAATAAAAGACTCTTCAAACACGAAAGCTGAAAAAGCTCATCAAAGAAAGAACAAGTTAAGCTCAAATTGGATTTTTTACAAGAATGAAGATGAAGGCTATGGGACTCCTTAGCTTTTTTGTTAGCGTGAAAAAGCCAATACCCTTGTTACATTAATCCTAAAGACACAAGCAATCCATCAAACAATGAAACAGAAAACATACTCCCTCCATATTTAAAAAATGATATACTACCTTGTTAAGTATTGAAAATACTTATACCATTTTTTCTTAAAAATGGTTATATCAAATTACATAATTGCCAAATCCAAAATTGTCCAAAATCTCGATCAATGGGAAAAATGACTACTTTTTAGAAGCTCAAATTTGGATTTTCACAAAAGAAAAATATACTCACTTGATCTTCCACTTCTCTGATCGCATTAGTTTCTGAACTGATAATAAATTGCTTCATGTCATTGTTGATCAAATTGCACGCTTGGCATAAAATAGAAACAAGAAAATATGTTGGCATAGATTTAGGAAGATGAACGAACTAAAAGTGTGTGTGGGTGAGAGAGAGAGAGAGTGTGTGTGTGTGTGTTCAGTGTGAGCGTGAAACTATGAATACAAACCATAAGCAATATTTATTGCAGTTTCCATTTTGTCCCCAGTAAGCACCCAAATTTTGATTCCAGCCCTAGAAAGTGTCTCTATGCATGCAGGCACTCCTTCCTGAAGCTTATCTTCTATAGCAGTGCAACCAATCAAAATTAAATCCTTCTCAATGAGTTCTGCCACCTGCATAATAAGATCAACAAGATTAGATGATCTGGGAAGTAAAATCTATCATGCAACACACAAGTTGCTACTTCAGAAAATGTTGCAAGCGTGCACAAGCTATACATCCTCTAACTAAATTGATAGTATTTTTTAATAGGAAATAATTCAGATCAGTTTCTTCTTGGCAAATTCTAAGGCGCGCCTTAGGTTGCATCTAAGAGCCATGGAATTTCTCACATAAATGAATTACCATTTAAATAATGTTATGATGTGCATTTACTTAATTTGTTTTAAATTAATTTCCTTATGTGAGAAGGTCCAGGCATTTTTATGTGCACCTAGGGTGCATTGTAGAAGCACACTTTGTTCTTATCAAGAAAAATAAAGGGCTAATTGAGATTTATTGAATTTTCATGCTAGCGACCAATGGCTTAAGTGGTCAAGAGAAACCATCCTGACCTCTACAAAAGATGCAGTCCAATCCGATATTTCAGAATATTTCAGATATTTTCACATAGAAGAATGGATAGTAAACTGCAATAATTGTACTATAATAGTGGGACATAAAGCCTTTTTTTATTTTTCATTGAAAACAAACATCAAAAATGCAAAAGGCTAGCAAATATGGTGGTTTACCTCATCCAATTTCTTTTCACGGTCTCGCAGAGATGATTTTGCTTGAATATATTTATCATTCCAATTTTCATATGCATCCGGATTTAAGACTCTGTAAGCTAAGCAAAGTGTGCGTAATCCAGCAGCTCCAAAGTGCTCCAAATGCTCCCTGGTTCTTTTTTTCAAATCATTATCTCCACTGGCCAGCCTTTCATAAATTACAGTGTCAGCACCCTGTGATAAAGATTTTTTTAATATATCATTTCTTCATGTATTGATGTTTCACATGTTTCTAGCCTTTATGAAGCCTATTACCTTACAGTACAATATAAGCCTTCCATCAGGGTATCGGCATACGACAGACTGGCGTTTCCTCGTACTAAATGCAAAACAAAAGTCAAGTTAAACTTCAGTCTTACTAAATTTGCAAGCATACTTCACATACATGTTTCAGAAATGTCACCTATTAAATTCAAGCACATTCAGGATTTCATATGGAACATCTTGAATATTTCCCATCTTTTCAACATGAGACTCGCGCACATATATCATAGTAGGTGTACGCCTGTGGAAAACATTGTGTAATCCCTATTATCAAGCAATGATCATATGTTGACTAACTTTAGTAAGCAACTAAGTACAACTCATGTGAAAGTAGAATACCTCAAATACCACTGATCCACAAGTATTAAAAAACAACTTTAATACTAAACCTAAAGATACGATGCCAGACAAGGTCAAGTTTCCCTAGGGTTTCCATTGAGGACAACACTCTTCCCCTAGACTCTGTCAAGGATGAGTCTACCATATCTAAACCCCTAATAGAAGGCTAGCGCAAGTATTAAGAAATATGTGTTGGAAAATGTGGCGTGGCAAAGGAGTCACCGAGGGAAGCAGTTATTATGTGTCAAGAGAGTAGCAGACTAAGAAGAGAGCAAGAAGATAAGAGATCTGCATGATACTGTAGTTTTCTAACAATGCATACTGTTCAATCAACTGGTTTCTGAAATATCATCAAACCTTTTTGAAATAAATATACTCCTGCATTAGGCTTTTGAAAGTGAAACGTATCTAGAATGAAATAAAATGAATCCAAAGAGCCGCACTTGCAAAAAAAAGAATCCAAAATTCTTTGCTGCCACAACCAAAGCAGCCTCATCAGGTGATGCTACTTGATATCGAATTTTTTCAGGGGTATCCTCTCCTTCTGGAAGTACAGTATGACATATTGCAAGGCATCTGAAGAATTCCTGCACAAACATGGTATTAATTGGACAAGATCACAACATGAACAAAAATAATACTCCGTAAGAATTAGTGTATGTGAGATTTCTACCGTGCAAAGACTGCAAAAAATAAAAAATAAGAAATACCCCTTAATTCACATGATAAAACACTACGAAATGTTTGTTGAATATATGAATGTTTGAAAAGATGAGCCACCAACTCGTAATAGAGAGTTTTAGGTATCACTTATGCATTAATATAAATTGTAAATGAGAGCTGACAGTATAAGATCAAACCATAAATTTAATTTGGGGACGAATGGAGGAAATGACATCCACTTATCCCCTATAACATATGGCATTACCTGACCAAGCTCCTCATTCAAATTAGAAGTCCTTGCTTGTGCAGGGGTGTTACTCTCAGGGTGGTACATGCACAAGTCATTGTTGATGAATTGAGTGGATTGAATAAACTTAATCATCCGGAAAAGAAAGTGGAGGTAGTGTTCAATAAACCAGAACTGTGCAGGGAGTTTTTAAAAAAGTAGAAAGGCGTGTGAGATCTACCTCGACAGAAACATATAAAGAGATGGGAATAATCGGCGAATACAAAGTAATTAAGGTGAACATAGTCAAAGCAGCAACCTGCATGCCACCCAAAATCACGTGCTTTAAGCAAGCATCGTACACAAAGAATCTAAATTTTAAACTATTACTTTAGGCATTTCCTGATCATTACTGCAAATCGATTATTAGGGTTGAATTGTACATCTGCATTCTTGCCAGTCTCAAATCGCAAGTAAAAATACTTGTCATCTATGAACACCCCACTGCGACAATTTCATGAAATATAACAAAAAATTCATAAATAATGCACCTATTAGTACAACATCATGTTATGTGGTAGTATAAACCATTGCAATATAGAGAATATTGGCACATAGTCAAACCTTCCAATGGCTCCCAAGATACACGTGCAAAAGAGAACACTAAAGAGAGTGAGAATAAGTTTGTCAAGCTTCTTCTCTAAAGTGCTTCTTTTAGACGGAATTTTCATTGCATTCATCATAACCTGTTGTAAATTCAGTAGCAGCAATCGTTTAATAAAAAAGTGTTTAAATTAAAAGAGCAAAAACCAAAGCAAGAAAAAGGTATGATCAAATCCATCAAAGGATAAAACCATGACATGTTATAAGGAATTTAGGGACAAAAATTTTGGAATTTTCAATAAAAAGACGTGATAAACAACCTGGGCCATTATGCACATCATGACCGAATTGGCCAATTGCTTATTGTTCAAAACATCAATTATTCTTGAATAAGATATATTGTCGTGTGATTGCATCACAGTCACCCACACAAGCTAAAAAATAATCATCCGTACAAGATTAATGGGTACCTTCATTTCATGGCCTGCAAAAACAACCACCCCAACAATGTATTCGGTGTTTCTCAAACTGCAACCCTGCAAAGTGAAGTGAACTTCAATAGGTAACGGCTAATAAGATGTCCATATTGAAAACAAATCATAATTTATGGAAAAATAAAACAGGAAACAAATAACTATTTCCAAAAGAGAAAAGTGTAAATATGACTCTTGATTCCCGTGGGGAACATGCAGTAAAGCGTATTTGTTTTGTTACAAATGAATTATGAGTTTAAAAAAACTCCTCCAATTATTCAATATGATTTTTCATTTATTTATTTTAAAGCAATAATATAAGCTCAGATAAAAGCTGGTCAATTAAAAATATGGAGAAAACATGTACCCTCAAAAGAAGTTGATTAGGGCTAAGAGGCAGAGTTTGCTTTTGGACAATCAAATTGCCAGTAAATGTGTACAAAGAGTTATTTGGCTCCTCACATTGTATTTCACCTGCAATATGCGGAACCCAAGTGAAGATGTAATCCTATCAAACGGAATCATATTTTCATGACTTATCTGCCTATGGAAAATTCAACTACTAAATTGATAACATAAATTCCATCCTATAATCCTTAATAACTAAACCTCGTTACACTTCATAGTCCATACCATTGCCATAATATCTCAATACAACAATGAGGCCAGGTTTTGATCAATTTGTTCATGTTCCCTTATTTGCATGTGGGTCTTGCAATGCCAATCATGTAATCACATGACTAGCAATTTGAAAAATCACATGACTAGCAATATTTGAACTCGTGGTGCATGTGGAAGTAACCTATAATGGTGATGGTTTAAGACATTTCCTCTCGCGATTCCTTGTTATGACTTATGAAGTGTGCAACATGAAGGGCATCGAGCAAAAAACATTGTCACTGAGCTTTCTTGTATTACTCCGTAGTGTTCATTAATTATATGCAAATACTTTATGCAATGTATACACACAATAAATTTAATGCCACCAACCCCGACTTGTTGGGATTGAGGTGCACGCCTTTGCATACAAAATGGTCCCCCCCCCATTGGAACAACAGCAACGCTTGAAAACCAATTGCTTTAGCTCATTCCACCCTAGTGGCTAAATTTTAGGAGCAGAAAGACAATTCTGCCACACGTATGATTACATAATTGATTCATTATTTAATTGAGTTGGAATTTGTTATAATTAACAACTAGAAAAGAATAGTACGGAGTATAATACTACATGCTTCAAAATTTTCTGGCTTTGAACTGAAATTGTGAAATTCTCAATATAGTATAAGGGAGCCAACTTAACCATCCTCAGACTCCAAAGAAAAGTCTGAAGTTCACGATTCTTGCTCAGGCATCAGAATTTGCAACTTTGGATAAATAGCAATAAATGCAAAACAGATGCAGGTAATGACGAAGCATTAGAAGGTTAAAACCTTGAAATTCAGCAACCTTCTCAGGAGTCGAATAGTCCCAAGTTTTCTCCAAAGCTTTTCTGATCTTTAAATTGGTTTCGCCATCTAAGTTAGATGTCTGCAGTTTACTTTCAATAGAATCATATTAGATTCAATTTAATTTCAAGAGAGTTATGTGATATTGTCATTACTATTTATTATTCTTTTTTCGAGGAGGACGTGGGGGGAGGGGGGCATGCAATGACACAAGTACTATCCTGTTTCTAAGGGATGTTCACTCCATTTACAAACAAGTCAGAAACATTGATCTTAATATATACTCCCTCCGTCCCACATAAGTTTCCCACTTTCCATATTTACGGTCCCAAAATAGTTTTCCCACTTTATCTCTCTTTTTGGAAAAGAATAAGTGGGCCAAAATACTTCTCTCTCTTCTAAACAAATTCTAATCACTCACATTTCAACATTTTTCTTAGTCTCCATTAAGTCAACTTGGGGAAACTAATTTGGGAGGGCGGGAGACCGGGAGTGATAAAGAAGAAAAACAATGCTTAACAACAAGAAAAGGTTACATTAAAGGAAAAAAACCATCAGTGTCAACTCAAGTACAACCTCAATGTAGCAGATCCCGTCAGGATTTGTGCTGGACAGAAATGATATGTCTGCTGGAAAAAATTCATCCTGTTTAATCTGGTACAAAAGCAAAAGGTAATCACCACTCATAATATGGTGGACTATCAAGTTGCAAGGTAATAAGGTTCACTTTACCCTTTATTATGGAGCAAAAAGCAAACATGTGTTTTATGTATCAGTTTTCAAAACAAGAATGAGAACAAAAAACATCATATGTTCCTAAAAATGCTAGATACAAATCTGGGCTCATAGATTAGAGCAAAGAAACCACAAGATAACAGCTTGGCATTATGACATGCCAATAAAAAAAGACTGATAAATTGATGTGATTGATTTATTGATATGAGATAGAGGTGTGTAAGCTTAGAGCTTTGCCTTAATACATTCTAAAACAATGAATTTGATGCTCTGCTTATCTGCTATATGACTAAAAAAGACAACAAGCATAGCACAAAAGGCCATTAAATTAATCGTTAAATAGGTGAGCAGTTATAAGAAGTGTTCTTACTCTCACAATGTCCCCAACCTGCAGCTTCTTCCAAGGAAGACTCGTCCATTTCTTATCTTGCAATACGTCTACTGGAGTATTATTAATTCACATGTCATTTTGAAAACGTTTCTGTGCATAATTTTAAACAAGAGTGTAAGCATGTCACACAATAAATAATCTCTTGTAAAAGTATGGATGGCAAATATAGTTATATGGCACACACCCAGGTTACTACAAACACAAAAGATCACAATAAACTGATGCAAAGATCATATAATCATATATCTTCTTTTCAATTTATCCTTGTGTTTGGTTGGTCATATTTTCTTGAGGATTTCTCCAAGAGACATCTTTATTCCTAGCTGAAAAAACATACCTGATTGGAGTGCATGAAAGAATTGATATCATGAGGAAGTAGAGGTTAGCCACCCACCGAACTGTCAGCATAAACAAAACACAAAAGAAAAAGGTAAAAGATAAAAGTGAACAAAAAGATGGGTACGAGAACATAAGCGGGAGATTTCACTTCAATCGTGGTTTCTCTAATGCATAAAAGTTGTAACAAGTACTACCCAACCAATGAATATCTTTCTTGAATGTTATTAGGGTTTTAGGTTATTTTATATAAGTATTTAACCAAAATATTGTATTATATGTGTCTATTTCCTATATGCATTTTGTTCATATGTAAGTAGCTATTTGGCAACTTAGTGACATAAAACATAAGTATTGAAATGCTTAGCCGTCCTACCACTTCATTTCACTTTTGCTTGTTAGTTGTTACTAATAACTCCTATAAATCAATAAAGGTACGCTTGTCAATTTATGAAAATTAATATCACCATTAAACTATAATTTTTCCTTAATGGACACTTATTAGATAACGGATGGAGTAAGTAATACACATTTTTTTATATAAATCTTACGTATTGCATAGGAGTACATGTCAATGAAAGGAAATTCCATTAGCATCACAAGCTAATGATTTTCCCAAAAAAAAATACCTGTTCAAATAAACCTTTCGGTAAGAATGTAAGCACATCGTACTTCGTAGTTGACACAGAGTTCACCTAGAATATTAGAGAAACATCATTCACTACTAATCAGAAAGGCTTTTCCTCAAACAAAAAACACCAACTATACCACTGGTCCAAGAGAGTGTATTGGAACTAATACAGTAATTGTGCGTGCAACCCAACAGCTTCTCATACATAACAAGTTCCTTTTTTTATAAGAATTCTCAACCAGTGAAACTGTATGATTAAGTGGGCAAGTGCAACTACTGAAGATAGATATAATTAATAAATGTGTTTCCTTGCTACTTGCTAACAACTTACAGAGTATACGTATTACCATTAACGCAAGCAAAAAGTCCTAGGTTCAAATCCCAGGTAGTCCGCATATTAAAAAAAACACATGTTTTGTGAAATTCCACATAAAAATACAGAGTATATGTCAAACAAATGAGGGGGGCATAACATAAGGGTGATAACTTCATGTAATGCTCTGTATTGTAATAATAAATTATAAATGAGTATCCTCACTAATTCTTTGAGGTTTTACTTGAAGAGGGATACAATGTAAGTAGTCAGTAAATACAGACTTTAATTGACACTCTTCGTGGACCATTGTCAATTGTAGCTCAGCACCCTACCCTGCTTGTTGAGAGGTTTCCAATGGGGACATATCTAAATATTTCAATTTGAGAGCGATCAATAAGAAGTTCACAATCCATAATTCTGTAGTATTATTGTACCAACCAATGACATCTCCAAAATATAAATAATAATGAAGTGTGTGTCCCAAAGATGGGAATGTCCATAATTTCAATCCACTTCCCATCATCAGCAAAAAGAGAGGCGGTTTCTAATCTTCTGGAAAGTGTGGCAACAACAAAACCCAATAGAATCTCGGAGTCTAGGAGTCAAGATGCTAGAAATCAGTCTTACCCTTGTAAAAAAACAGATAGACTATTCTGTTAGACCATTGATGTATTGCTGGATTCAACCATTTGCTACCCAAAGCTTCATAAATAGTAAGAAGCAAATTAAGCTTTATGTGACATTTTGATTTAGGGGGGTGTATTCAATTTAGATTTTAAAAGATTATGTTAGATTTTTTATAATCCATGGATTATGTAAGATTTATGGATTGTCTTAATTCTAAGTAGACTTCAATAGATTTCAATTTATTTTCTTGTAAAGATTTATCAAGATTCTAATAGATTGTTCTCAGCCCAAATTGGTTAAAAAAGAAAAAATAAAAAAGGAGACTGAAGGCTCTTGGAACGTCGCCTTCACAGAGCCGCCCCCAAGCCGCCTCCTCCCACGAGGCGATTATATGATCTGGTCAAAAAGCTCCCCACCATCAGATCTGTTGAACTCCACAATCATGCACTGAATCACTGTCCTCATAAGCCCCTTTGAACTCCACAATGTTAGCCAATTCATATAGCAGCCAATTCATATAGCCAATTCATAAAGTCAATTAATACAGCAGCAAATTAGCATGAAAATAGAAGAAAGAACCAGATCTGAGACTAGAAGGTGAAGATGAGAACAAAGATAGAGAAAGGGAGGGAGGGTGTGGAAGAGATTGGAAGGCCTGATGTGTTGGATGAAGCCGGAGAAGATGAACGGAAGGCTTGGTGCAGAAGAACGAAAGGCCTGGTGCAGAAGAACAAAAGGCTTCGTGCGGAAGAGATGGTGCAGAAGAACTTAGCAAAAGATTTTGATAGGATTTGGAATTGGATACTAAGGTATGAAAATCTATCAAAATCCCTGTTATTAAAAATCTTAAAAAATCTATCAATTTTTTAATACTTAAAATCAGAATTGAATACATCTAGATTTAAAATGACATTTTAAAATTTAAATTGAATAACTATAGATTTTCAAAATCCTAAAAAATCTTGATAATTACCCGAAGCAAAAACATTGTCAAAAATTACTCTTTTAGCTCAATTGGGAGTAAACTGAATAAAATGCTAATAACAATTACTCCGTACTTATGTTCATAGTTTGGCCATCCAAAAATGAAACATCTTAAACATCCAACAAAATCCCCAGTCATATCTAGTGCAAGTGCTTCTTTTTGCTTCGCCCCCATGCGTTTCTAATACAAGATTTAAACTTTGATAAACCCCTACAATACCAAAGCTAATACTTGAACACCAGTCTGCTTGAACCCGTAGCTGATCCCTAACTAGCATCCTCCATTATCAGAGCTTCAACCTCTGAGCTTAATATACAAATAATACGGGCTGATTAATTGAATAAGCAGACGAACTAAACGCTGACCTTGTACTTGGCGAGGGCATTGGCTTCACGATCATTGCAAAACACCGTCCTATGGCCGGGAGCTTGTGGCTGAACCTTGCCCAGCCTCACGGTCCCTGAAGAAGGAATGTGCTCTAAGTCAGGTGATCCATGGCTTCCCGATCCAGATCCCTTCCATCCGACCATATCTTCGGCAAATCGTCCAATCCTCGCCGGACGGGAGAGAATCTACGGCTCCGGCGTCCCGTTTATTGCAATTTCCGGACGGAATAGTGGAATTGTTTCTCGGTTTTAGTTGATGGGCGAACGGAAGTTGAATATCAGAAGAAAATATGGCGTGTTAACGATTTGATTTCTTCCTAAAATACGCCTGAGCAGATTTTTTCAACTATATCGTGGCCGCGTAATTTTGGCATATTGGGAGACTCCTCCATTCCTTCAAACGGACCTGGTGGCTGTGGCGTATCAACACCATCTTCATAAAGTACCTTGAAAAAAATATTTATTTTAAATCAAGTACGGAGTAATATTTATTTTAAAGTTGTGTGTGAGTCATTTCCATTTATTTTTTATTACAATTACAATATTTATTTACGAACAATGGAATACTCATTCTGAAATAACGTTCATTTTCAAATAATGTAATACTCATTTTGAAGCAACATAGCATCTCTCACTTCACTTCTCAGGTGTGCTATGTGAATAAAACAACCGGATGTAAGCAAGGGCGGAGGGAGGGGGGCACGCTTGGGCAAGTGCCCCTCGGCGAAATAGGAGGCTGGATTTCCCCCCCGATTGTCGCAGCGACGCAGGTCATGCTTGGATGCTCCAACAATCCATAGCCGATCGAAGAGAAGAAGAAGCAGTCGGTGGAAAAAAAGGAAAACGACGTCGTTTTGCTGATGGGTTTAAAAAAAATTATTTGACCCTGCAAAATACTCGGCCCAAATGCAAAACTGCCCAATTGTCCAAAAAAAGGGAGTGGCGGATTAGACATAGCAGAAACGGCGAAGGCATTTAGGCTCTGTTCCGTACGCCTGGTCTGATTGAATCTGATCTGAATTTTTGAAGTTCTGATCTGATTGGGTCTGATCTGATCTGATTAGATCTGATCTGATCTGATTGGATCTGATCTGATGTGATTGGATCTGATCTGATCTGATTGGGTCTGATCTGATCTGATTGGGTCTGATCTGATCTGATTGGATCTGATCTGATCTGACTAGATCTGGTGTAAATGAATTTAAATTTGATTTAAATTAAACTTAAAATTATTACAAAATTTAATAGTTTTAAAGTATTACAATTCATATATACATAAAAAAGTAAAATAAAAAAATCAGCTAATCATTAATATCTTTAAAATTTTTTAAAATATTAAACATCTTTTCAATATCACAACTTTTTTAATTTTTGTGAAAACTAAATAATCGGTATTAAAATAAACAAATATTAGAAAATATTGATGCTATTCTACAAAAATATCACATTGTATATGCATATTACATAATACTGGTAATATATTTCATGTTACAAATTAAAGATCATATATAATTTTAAACACTAATATCATTTTCACCTCTATCAATTTTGTCATAAATTCACCCTTGTGTATATTATACCATCTTAAAGTTTAAAAGTAAGTCTTTTTAAGTATAAAATATTTATAGTTTTGAAAACTAAGTTTTGTATAATTATTTTATAAACAAGTATTTTAAAATAAATCTTTTTAAAGTATGAAAAATATTATTTGCATTCGGTTCAAAAAAAACATTGCTTCCATGCATCATTTCTATCCTACAAGCTAAACAATTATTTAAAATAATGGTTTGTAGTTGAAATATAATAATAATAATAATAATAATAATAATAATAATAATAATAATAATAATAATAATAATAATAATAATAATAATAATAACAATAATATTTAAAGTTATAAAATTAATTAAGATTTAAGTCTGTGTAGTTTTAAATAAAGTAATGTGATTTAATCAAATAATAGTAATTATTATTTAATCGTTGAATCAAAAGTAATTATTATCTTTTATATTTTTTCTTGATTTGATATAATTGGATTTGATCTGGTCTGATCTGATTGGATCTGGTCTGATCTGATTGGATCTGATCTGATTTGATTGGATCTGATCTCATCTGATCTGATCTGATTGGATCTGATCTGATCTGATTGAGTGTGATCTGATCTAATTGAGTTTGATCTGATCTGATTGAGTCTGATCTGATCTGATTGGATCTGATCTGATCTGATCTGATTTTAATAAGAATAAGTAATAAGTAGAAAAAATAAGTCCTACGGAACGGACCCTTAGCAATCACCGGAAAAGAAATCCAAACGTAGTGGCGCAATAGGCTGTGCTTCTTCATCCAAAACTTCCGATCTTTTCTCAATCTCTGATTGTCTAGGTATATATATGTAAATTTTAATTATCTAATTTTGAGATTTGTTTATTAATATTTGAAATTTTTAAATATTGCTAAATTATGTTTTGAATTTTGAATATTTATTTTGTTCCGTGGTTCTAGTGTGTTTGTTGATATTTAAATATTTGATAAATTTTAATGTAATTTAAAGTTCTAGAGATTAAGAAATATGAAATTGTTGTTTTAAGGTTATTGAAATTTTATTTTGTTACTTTATTATTGAATCCGGAAATTTTAAGACATGAGATGGATAAATTTGTTATTAGACAAAAGAATAGTTTAGAATTTGTAAGTGATAGAAACAATGAAAAAGAAGCTTCTTCTTCTATAGAGAAAGAAAGTGTGGTATATTCAACTCAGGACAAAAAAATGAGTACATGAGGCTCCACTCAGGACAGTCATCTTCATCCACGACTCATATTACTTGTTTCTATTTCTGTTTCGTCGTCGGATGTTTTTGCGCATAAGCTTGCTAGGACCGGGGGGGGGCTCATTGCTCCGGACTTCATTTGTTCCTCCTCTTTTGATTAAATAATGCAAGAAATACATTAGAAAATGTGGCCAATGCTCTTAACAAAACAGTCTGCAAGATTTGAATCACACAAAGAGGTATTGAAGCCCAAAATTATTAGGTCTTTATGCCCTCTAACTCTAAATAGATCTTTTACACACCCTTGCTATGACACCAGATGTGTCAATCCTGCAAGTAATGACATTAACAAAACAAACCAATGTTAAATGTTCCAGTAAAGTTACATTGTATGTAGGCATAATTAAGTAAACAAAAATGTTGGGAAATTCTTGCATCAAACTAATTAAATGTTGGGAAAATGTACGTGCACAATTACATCTCAATTTCTAGATAGATACATTGTTCTGAGGTCTTGAGCCCTTGAGCTTGACCCATTGTTAACTAAAAATACAAGGATTCCATTTATTCCTGAGGAGCTCGAAATCACCACCATTCAACTGGACTGTCCAAACTTCAACAGACTAAATTTGAGAATTACAGAATATGCCATTGTTGGAGATTCTCGCAATTAAACGGGAAATAAACTTGTAGCCCGAATCCATTATGTGGAACAAACGATTAATTAAATCAGGTCCTCTACTCCACAAAGACATCTCAGTTGAAATCAAATGGAGGTCTATGAAAGATGGTACGCAAACTACAAATGCGTTAGCAATATTAATTAGGTCTGTGAGATCCATATTTAGTCGGAACCGGGCTACGCTTCAGACTGCGAAGTAGCTCGTTCGCCTTCACCATCCTTGGCTTCTGACGGCGACGTCCCTAGTTCGTCGGCGCCGGGATCCGTCTGAGTAGACGACCGGTGCTTCGAAGGAGATCCGGCTGCTGTGTTTGTTGAAGTCGAGAGGATGTGGAGAAGCGTACTGTTAAAAGTCGGATGGAAGGAATGCTGGCTGGCGGAGGGGTCGAATCGGCTGAGGAATGACGACACAGAGGCCAATCAGCCACTTTGTTACAATTTAAAAAAAAAGTACTAAATCTTTTTCTTGAATCAGTCCTAAATGTTGTGAACTGAGTACTTTATTCATCATATGTCAGGCTATTTATACATACACAGGGAGGAGGTAAAGTCTAGGTAAATAAGGTAACCAGATATTCTAAATAATAAGAGTAATATATCTGCCATATTTAACACTCTCCCTCAGATATATCATCGTTCATTATACACTAACAACATTATGCTACGGGATAATTTGTGCTAGGTTCTTCAGGACCTATATTAACTGATACTGCAGGATCAGTTATGCTGCCTCATTAAAAACCTTTCTAAGAAAACCCAGTGGGACAAAATTTAGTTAAGGGAAAAAGAGTACAGTGTGTATAATATTTTCTCTCAAAATAAAAATATACTCCCCCTCAAACTAATTTATCTCTTTTAGCTTGCGAAGTCCAATCTTCTTTATGAGTTGCTCAAAACTGTGTGTCTGTGTCTAGGCAGAGATTTGGTGAATAAGTCCGTCAAATTTTGCTTGATTTAACTTGAAGAACATCGATCTCTCCTTCTTTCTACAGATCATATGTTGAGAAAAACTTTACTGAGATTTGCTTCGTTATGTCTCCCTTGATGTAGTCTTCCTTGATTTGAGTTATGCATTTTGTGTTATCTTTACATATAATTGTAACATTCTTCTTGATTTCTTTCAAATTGCATGCTCCTTGTATGAGATTCATCATCAATCTCTACCATGCTCGCTCTCGATCACTGTCGTATAATGCTATCAGTTCGGCTTGATTCCATGTTGTTGTTCGTGCTCGCTCGGTCAACTTCCAAGAAAATATCGTATCACCATATGTGAACACATACCTGTCTAATTTCACACATAAAATTTTGGTACTGCAGAACCAAGTACTTCTTCGCCCTTTTCAATTCTGGGAGGCGATTAGAATGTTATGTATATATATTGTTAGTCGGTTTAGTCGTTGTGCCCACGCCTTAGAGGGGGGGTGAATAAGGCGTTTTAAAATCTTTTCGGAGTTTAATAAAAACGGTGTTGGCAAATGCGGAAGCAATATATAAAACGCAGAAATAAAAGCGTAAATAAAATGCACACCGATTTTATACTGGTTCGGGAACTCCCTACTCCAGTACCTCAAGGCTCCTCCTCAAGGATTTCCGAATCCACCAAGTCTCAGTCTCTTGAACTCCGTCAAAGCACCGCACTAGTTTGGCAAACAACCCTTGCCAATAGGATTCACTCCGAGATTTTACCACGGCTATCTCGAACCGTTTACAACGAAGATTTAACGCCTATCTTCTACCGTTCCCCCAAGGATTTCAAAGGCTATCCTTGAACCTTTACCCAAGGATTTATACGGCTATCCTCGACCGATACAATATGAGAATTTAACGGCTATTCTCGACCGTAAGAAGGTGTGTTTGAAGAACACAAAAGAGGATTCTACACAAGGGCTAGAATATAAAAATGAAGAACAAAACTTAGCCGGTGTAGAAGGAAATTATACTCTCTCAAAAATACAATATA